GAAGTTCTTATACCAGTTTTGAAAGAATTCCCACTCTAAAATGTTCAGAAGAAAAAGTGAGGGTGTTGGCACTGCTGCGTCCATGCTGACTCACAATTACTAGAAAGTATCCTTTCACTCAGCTCAGTGTTTTATAAGTTTAAAGTGAAAATCAAACAAAAGCATGTTTGTTAAAGAAAAATGTAATTACACACATTTGCTATACATAATTTTTACTTTTTCTGTTTCTAATAACTGCTTATTGACCTGCAAGGCACAGGGAGACTAAAGAGCTCATCACTGTTTTCTTATAGATCTGACATCTGCAAGTTGAACAGTTCACTAACACTTAAACCGTATTTCAGTAAACAATGCAGCAAATGGGGACAGGGGAATTGGAGATACATAATGTAGCAAGATACAGAATCTCTACTTATTTGCATCCTAGACCCATATAAAGCGGTACATACACTGAGATTTTTGTGCTTGTGTTGCCATTGGGAGCATTTAAAATGTAGAAGTTTAAATCCCCACTATAAAAAAAAAAAGACTTGCCCACAGAAGAAAAAGATACGCTGGGCCACTAAAGTTCTTAGTGCTAAATCAAGGCATGATTCTGATCTCAGTGCCACCTAGGAATAATAGGGTTAAATAGAGATCATTTAATATAAAAGGAAGTCAGCTTCTGGTCCATTAGAAGGAAAATTTACTAGGAATCTCAGAGCGTATTGGTTAATCAGATAGCACTTACTTTAAAAAAAAATAAAACAAGTAATTGCTGTTCAACCAGAGCAATCCTATGCTCAGGGTAGTTAAAGTCCCTATTATTGCATTTATATTTTCACCCGGACCTTGTAGGCAGTGTGCTGCATGATTTTTTCCCAAGGAAGAAAGAATTGCAAAATACAGTATTACTCACACCTGTGTTTTGTGTCTCTTCTGTTTACTCACAGTGAGGAAACCACCACCACCACCAGAGACATAACCGTATACTCCAGCTCTCAACATAAGCATACGCTCTCCGGTGAAAGGTGGCACACAGGAAGGCTTCTCCCATTCAGGTACTGCTCCCTCCGTTAGAAAGCTCCAACACAAGACTGCTGCATACATCTCTTGCCATTCTCCTTCCTCTATAGGCACCCACTAGTTAGCTCTCCACACATGCCTCTGAGGGTGTTATACACTATACCCTGAAAGGGCTGCTGAATTCCTGTCTTCTGATAACCTGAGTTGTCCAGTAAACAGTGGTTGGGCTGACTTTTAGGCAAAAGACAATATTAAAAAAGTACTATTTCAGTGCTACAACTCTGTAACTATTTTGGGGTTTATCCACCTGCATAAGTGTCTCAGGTCTGAACAGACACGGACAGCAGATTTGGCTCACCGGGAGAAATGTCATGAGAACAGCGTTAGCGAGTCTGCATATTCTAACAGCTTAGGAAGGTCATTTAGTTCTTGTACCTGACTTCCACTGCTCTTCAATATTGGTCAAGAAATTTCATCTAGTTATTATTCTATGAAGCTTAATTTGTGCAGCTGTCTATTTTTGAATGGCACATACTTCTGCAAGACAAGAGGGGAAATTAAGAAAGAAAATTAGCCCATAATGTTCTTTTCTACCTGGTTAATAGGCTCCACATGTATTGTTCTATTACAGATAATTCTAACGTGTAATTTAGCAGGTTGTACTGTCAACGCATCCTGCCACTCTGCCAGAGACAGCAGCCCAAATACTCTGCAGGCAGCTGATGACAGTAGGGTATCTCCAGAGGAGCAGATCCAGAGGGGAGGGAAAGGCAAGCAGGAGCTGTTTGAGAAACCAGGAATCATCTGCCAAGCAAAGCTACTAAGAAAACGATGAGGGAAGGTAGATAAGGATGACGGAAAAGCAAAAGGCCAGGCTGGGCAGCACCCACAGCCTCCATCAGAAGACAGGACAAAGTATGATTGCAGATGGTGCCCCTTGCAGGCAGCTGGCAACTCAACCGCAACACCCACTTCTGGGTCTCACTATCGATATCCCCGAGTGTTATTTTGTCAGGAGGCTACCATGCAAAATTCCGTGTTTAACATGCCCCATTGAAACAAATCCCATTGTCAGTAGCCTCAAACTGCTTCAGCTACGAGTCCAACTTAACCTGACCCATGTGTTCAGCTCCCAGACACTACCTACATACAAAAGCTGCTAAATACAGCGGGCTGCTTTGAGAGCAGCGTTGGTGACTCACGCATTGACCCACTTTCTAACGATGCAGAGTCAGCGGTTGGGCCCCAGGGTGCAAGGTGTGGAGGAGAGGCACAGGGGCTTCCTGCAGCAGCCCAGCTGTGGCTAGGCGAACTGCTGTGTCCGTGCAGTTCTGCTGTGCTGCTCTCAAACACAATCCACATTTTCAAGTATGCTAAATTCATGCTTGTGCAGTGCCTCTGATTGTACATCAAGCCTGTCCACATGAAACACGCAATGTTGCATTAAGCGCAGCTAGTGAATACAAGGGTCTAATAAGCTCAAGGAAAAAAAATCTTCCCTAACCACATAAAGCAATTAATACATCTTTTCCTCTTCCACGGCTGGCTATTTTTTGCATTGTGTTCTTGAAAATGACATGCAAAACACTGCAAGGAGCAAGATCCCAAATTCATGCAGTGGCTTTGCACTTTCAGGCTCCTCTCTGAGTAGGCAGAGAGGAGAAAAGTAACCTGTGATAGATGAAGAGCTGGAGTAGGTAGAGCAAAAAGCATCAGCAAAACCCTGAAAAAAAAAACCCTCAGAAAGCAAAGCTTGGAATTTGGATCATTTGGAAAGCTGAGGAGGATGATGGCTTTTTGACCTTGTTCATTGGGCTTCTGGAATGAACTTTTCGATATTCTAATTATTAATTGAATCCTGATTTATCTTGCACAGTATCAAGATTCTAGAGTTCAGCATTCAAAATATATAGCCACAGAAACAGATTTTCTGTTCCTAATGAGTAAGAGGTCGTCCTGCTTTGGGCTAAACCAGAACTAATTCTGTTTTAGTGCTTTTACTTTTCAGTTAAGTCTCTTCTAAGTAACTGCACTTTCTGAAAAACAGCAGCATGTTTTTCCAGACAGTGACTGCTTCTAGCAGTGATAACACTTGATGTATATAGTCAGTACCAAGGAGTGGTATGCAGAAAGGTCCTTGCCTATACTTGTTCTTATAGCAACCAAGATCACTGCTAGATCTTGTACTCCATGTTGGGGTGCCGTAAGTGAAAAGGGTCACAAGCACCTAAAAGGTCGCACCTGCAGGGAGAAGCGAACAGGACAGGTGACCCAAACCTGACCAACAGAGTATTCCATCCCATATACGTCATATTTAGTATAAAGCTGAGGGATCACAAGGGTCAATCTCTCTTCTTCGATGGCCGACATCTGAGAAGGACTCTGTCTGTTCTTCTGTCGTTGATCCCAATCCGTGCATCCCTGAATCCAGTGCCTGAGTCCACCTCCTGCATCCGGTCCCTGTCTGCTGCCGAGTCCAGCCTGGGACTGCCCCAGTGCCAGCCCTGCAGCGTCAGTGGTGACGTATCGTCATCAGGGTGGGGGGAGTTGTGTTCGGTATTGGTTCAGTATTGGTTTTGTATATATTTGTATATATTTCATTATTTTCTTATTCTTATTATTATCCTTTATTTTATTGTTATTGTTTCATTAAAGCTGTTTTAGTTTTCTTTTCCAAACTGTAAAGTCTTTCTCCCTTGTTCTCTCCCTTCACTTCTGAGAGGCGAGAAGGGTTAATAGACAGTGTCTGTCATTCCTTAGTGGACCCTTAGTCTAAACACTTGACAGAGGCTTTGCATGTCAGTACCATGATTGAAAGGACACTTTATGGAACATCAGGCCCCAGCAAAGTGTTTGTATACACATAGCCACTAATACTAAGTATTTTTGTATTTTATCCCTGTGACAGCCTAGGAGCAACCCAACCACTTAGCTAAATCGAACACTGTAAACTCTGTCTAGCAATATATCGATTCTTATCTCAATCCTCCTTAAAACAAGAGGTCATAGCTATCACATACCGTAATGTGTACCATGTCCATCTCAAAGAAACAGCTGCAGTTTTACCTCAGAAGACGTATGTTACTGCAAGATGAGAACTAGATGTCACACTAGCAACCATACAGGTGAAAAACACTGTCCAAAAAGCAGACGGATAATTGATTGTGTTAGCATTAGGGGTACTGTTGATGAGGCAAAAAACTAACAAGGTAAGGATGTAAGGGGACAGCGTTGATGTGCAGGATAGACGCTTTAAGCTAGACAGTGCCCAGCTCTTGAGGAAAATTTCCTTACTGTGGAAGGGCTGCCAGTGAGGAGCGTCCACCCAGCTTGGGACCAGTCCTTCCACTGTGCTGGTCTTTGCTTTGCCTTCAAATCCAGACCTCACTTACCTTCCAAAATTGCCTCCAGAAACACAAAGGTTCAGGGATAGTAGGGATATTAGCACCAAGGTCACCAAGGATTGCATGGGAGCAGGTTTTGGCTGCCGACAGCCTTGGCCATGAAGATGGCATGATAGCAGAAAACATTACTCCCCGTTGCACCCACCTCTCGCTAGAAAAAACATCTCTTTTCCTTGTCTCCTTGAGGGGCTTGTGTCATGCCGTGGGAGCAGGGCCACTCCTGGTCCCGTTCCTTGCCACTTCCACAGACCCTGGGAAGTACACTGTGCTCACTGCATTTGTGGGTCACCAGCGATGGTGAACTGCACCTCAGGCTCTAGCTCTGAGAGGGACTTTTCTCTTTCAGGGGACAGAAATGCCTGCCCTAAAACACTCGGGCCATTCATCTGTGATATCCTTCATGGTCTCTGCTGTACCTCTCGTAGAGTCTCACTGGATAGTTCTCACCCCTTCTCTCCAATCTGCTACTTGAAGTAGCACCTCTGCTCCATCAACATAGCTGGCTTGGGATACAGTAGGTTTTTCACACCTCCTTGTTAAGTAGAACCTTTTCTCTTCTCTCTCTATGCAGCCAGAGGAAAAGACGTGGCCATGTTTCCCCACAGCATGGGTAACAGCAGCGCTCCTTTTCTCCTCCCTACCTTTCTGCTCCTGCTGCACAACAAGAGCTACCCTGAGACCTCCATCCCTCCTGCTGGCTACCAGACGACCGAGTCACCCGTAGGACCCAGCCCAAGCACGAACCACACCATCTTGTCATACGAACTGAGGTCGGGGGAAATTGCAGCAGCCAGCATGGTTTTGGGAGCACTGTGGCTGCTTTCCCTCTGTGGAAACTCCCTCGTGTGCCTAGTGATCCACAGGAGCAGGAGGACGCAATCCACCACCAACTATTTTGTTGTCTCCATGGCTTGCGCAGACCTTCTCATCAGTGTGGCAAGCGTGCCCTTCGTGCTGCTCCAGTTTGCCTACGGCAGGTGGCTGCTGGGCAGCATCATGTGCAAGCTGGTAAGGTACATACAGCACCTCACCCCGGGAGTCCAGATATACGTGCTCCTCTCCATATGCCTGGACCGATTCTACACTATCGTCTACCCCCTGAGCTTTAAAGTGTCCAGGGAGAAAGCCAAGAAAATGATTCTGGCCTCTTGGCTGTTTGATGCTCTCTTCACATCCCCGGCTTTCTTCTTCTACAGCTCCAACGGCGACGACCACTGCAGCTTTTTTCTCCCCACTTCTTCTTGGGAAGGGGCCATCTACGGTATCATCCACCTCTTGCTTCTCTTCCTGATCCCATCCATCCTCATTCTCCTCTTCTACCACAAAGTCATCAAGTACATTTGGAGAATAGGCACCAACGGCAGGACTGTCAGGAGGACGACAAATATCGTCCCAAGAACAAAAGTGAAAACCATCAAGATGTTCTTACTCTTAAACACCCTCTTTCTTCTGTCCTGGCTCCCTTTTTACGTGGCACAGCTGTGGCATCCACTTGCAACAGACTACAGAAGGAGCGCCTTGCTTTTCCTGGCCGTCACCTGCGTCTCTTTCAGTGCTTCAGCCTCAAAGCCAGTCCTTTACTCCGTCTATAATGCAAACTTCAGAAGAGGGATGAAAGAAACCTGTTGCATGTCAGCTATGAAATGCTACAGAAGCAACGCATATACCATCACCACCAGTTCCAGGATAGCCAAAAAAAATCACGTTGGCATCATAGATAACCCAGCTCCGGCCAAAGCTGTCACAAAAGACTCCATTTATGATGCTTTCAATAGAGAAGAAAAGGAAAAAAAGCTTGCCTGGCCTATTCAGTCCAATCCTCCAAATACATTTGTCTAGATGGATTCGTTTCTGTGAAAAATTCTTATGTAATCCCAGAAAAAGGAGATTCCCACCCTTTTAAAACAATGTAATTTTCAATATTTTTTAAAAAAACTTTTAGGTAAGAAGATAAGATGTTTTATTTTATTAAATGCCTTGATTTTGATGTGTCCAGTCTCTTTCATTTCAGTTATACTCTGCTTTTTGGAAACGCTCGCCCTGAATCACGGGCATAACCTTCCCACAAAACACAAAAGCTCGCACACCCTCTCTATGGAGGGGGAAAAGGCAAAGACAAAACACTGCTGTTTTTAATCCCTGTCCACTGGCCACGGTGTATAAGTTATACCTCCACCCAAAGCTATCTCAACTTCCTTTCCTTATGGCTCTGTGAATATCGTCGCACTGGGGTTTTCCCTCTTGTTCACTGCCTGCGCGTAAGATGTCCATACGTGGGCGATGCTGGCCTAACTCGGAGCCCACTGACATCGGTGCTAAAGTGCCCACTGCCCCTGGAGGGTGTATAAGGCATAAATCCACTCAAAGCCACCTCTCCATCCTGAAACATTGTTTTGTTTGGGGTTTTTTTTCACTCAGCACCCTCATTGATAGGAGCTGCACTGAGTTTGTATGTGAAATATTTATTTATTTTCTTAATCCTCACAGAAGTATAGCAGTGTGCTCTCAGGAAACCCAGATAACTATTTATCCACAAAATTAGTTCAGGACTATCACCTGGTAGTGAATTATTCTCACTCTGCTGGATCAATATGCTCCCATGAGCTGGAGCTGTGGAAGGTCCAGTTCAGGCTGCTGCACCCGTTGGCCGGTAAGGTTTCCATTTTGTCTTCTTACAACATCAACCAGAGTGTCCCGCAGGGTTTAGATCAGAATTATGTCCATCCCAGTATCCTATCATTGACCATTGCCATCAGCATGTGCTTGAGGGCAGATCATAGGAAACAGGGAAGCTACAGAGAGTTCTCCCGATACCTCGTTCCAGCCTCTGACAGTCACTCCTAAGAACTAACAGCTTTCACAGTGTAGCTGCCAAAAAGTAGTGACTTTCAGTAAATCTGGAGCAGGTCCATAATGGGCCTAGTCGTAACGTCCTGAGATGGGACAAGCAGCACCATCCTGCTTGCTCAGGCCCCATCTAAGTGGATTTCAGGAGAGTTTTGCCTGAGAATCAAGGACTTGACCTCTTTTCAGTTGAGGATCTCAAGCACTTTCTTCCTATTCTCTATTTGCTTCTCAAGTAGCTCTGACAAAATCAGTATCTGGTGAATAGTTGATCCTCACCCGCTGTCTTTGTGCCAGTCTTGGGTTTGTAAACCTCTATCATGTATTCTCTGTTATTTCTTTTCCATACTGAAGAGTCTCATCCTACTAAGTCATTTCTTGCACAGAACCAGCTCCAGACCAGGCTCTCCTTGGAGTACCCTAATGTAGCAGCCAGAGCATGGCCAAGCATCCTCAAGTCCAGACTACCAGTTCGTATTTCACACTTAAGTCATGCTAAAAGTGTGGTGGACACTTTGATCCCAGGCATTAAACTAGGCAATAGAAGACAGTGTGCACGTCAGCTATCCCTCCACATACTCCCATTTCAAAATCTCAAGTGCCCTGCTGTGTGGTTGAAAGAAACATCCTCAGCCACAACCTTCCCAGAGAAGGATCATCTTTTTCTTCTGTTTTCAGAGCAAATGTTGCACAGCTGGGTTCCTGCTCATGTTTGGGGTCTGAAAGTACTGCAGTAATGAAAGTTAGTTGAACAAGAGTAGCGAGTACTACAAGGTGTATTAAACACGCTTGAGTATCTCCCTTTCCTGTCAGCAGGGAGCAGAAGCCCACGTGTTGTGGAGTCTCAAGCTGACAGCCTCCAAAGAGACTCTCACGCTGGCCACGTGGGTGGGGAAACTCCTTTGTTGAGAAATATTACTGCATGTATGGTAGAAAACTTCCTTCTCCTCCTCCAACACACAAAGTGTGGTTGTAAGAACCCTTACTGACTGAGGGAACACTTCCAGTATGTATTTCACAAATTCAGAAATCCCCATTAAATAAGGATCCAATATTTCTCATTAAAGCCATTAGCAAAAATACCCATGAATTGGGAGGAGAGAGGACCTTGAAAATGAGACAAGACCAATATTTTCTGTGTGGTTCATGTTCTGAGCAGGTTGTTTCTCCCTGAAACATCACCGTACGCTTAGTTTTTCTTCGCCACTTAATTCCAACACAGCAAAGCCAGATCTAGGGTAAGCAGGCCAGGGCAACTTCACAATGTTATTTTTAACATTGGGTTGTGATACTGAAACCCAACAGTTGTTCTTTTGGTTAATAGTTTCATTAAAGAAATGGGACTGAACAGAATGTCATGGTTACCCACCTCCTGCTAGGTCTGAGTCCAGAGGGCCCCAGGACACTTGTTCCTTCAAGTTTACATAAATGGGAGTGCATGAGGCAGCCTCATTACCCAGGCATCACAGAAAGGACAGTCCAGAACAGTCACTGTCCTGTCAAGGTGTATCCAAAGAGGCTGTAGGCAGTGAGTCCTCGTACAGTTGGACCCCAAAGATGTTCCAGTGGATGTTGCCTGTGCACAGCAAGCTTCCAGCCCATAGATAAGGAGCAGGTCTCTGACCACTATGGATCCCAAAGGAAAATGCTGCTGCAGCCACCACATACAGGGGCTGCTGCCTTCAGACTTGCTCCATTGCTGAAAAAGAAGGGAGAGAGAGGCAGTCCACCCTTAAGGCGCTAGCACCACCTTGCAGGCCCACAGTTTGCCAGATGTCATTTCACATACAAAGCCCAAAGAACACAGACTTCCATGCAACTTTCCCTCTTGTGAACTCAACTGCATTTCCCCACCTCCCAGAAGCCTGTAAAATTACACAAGCAGGCCAGTAAATGTCCAGGACTGCCATGACGCAACAGCTAGGGACACAATGTCCCTGGTTTGAAACAACTGGCAGTTCTGCCCCGAAATCACAGGCCTAACTGCCCTGTGACCATGAGTGAAGTCTGGTGGTTGGCATTCTTACACCATCTTTCTGTATCAGTAAAAGCCAAGTCACAGTTGTATCAGAGTGAGCATGACTGCTTGTATAGCTTCTTTTAGCCAAAACTATACTGGTAGAAAAACATTCTCACTAATGTAAGCTGTGTTTCAACTAGGAGGAATTTGCCCATGCAGCTGACCCTTTGTGCAGTTATACCAGTAAACCTTCCTGATTTCTACTTCCATATAATGCAGCTTTCGGTATCATTAAAAGAATTATCCAGAGAAATCGAACAAAACCCATTGCTTCTATTGCTAGCTAGCTGACAGATCCCTCGGTCTGAAAAGCCAGCCTTCACCACACAGCACAAGCAAAAGGAGCAGTGATGTGCCCGTACGTCGGGTGCGTACGTACATGCTCACTCCTACTTTCTTCCTTTCCCTTTTTCCCAAGTCCTGCCAGTCCTCTCTATCCTTTATCCCATCAGCCATGGCTGCTGACCAGGCTCATGCCC